AACTTGAGAAAAACTTTAGGTTATTTTCTAATGAGGAAAAAATTTCTAAATGAAATATATCCTAGATAACAAAGCAAATCAGAGATAGGTTTGAGCTTTTCCCTCATTCCCTTTGTCTTGAATGTTTAATATCCAAAGGAGCCCACTTTTGCTCTGAATTAGCATCTGGGTTTGAAGGCACTATTACTAGTCTCCATGGGGACACCCCAACTCTGAGGCTATCTCTCTCCACACCCCTTTTTCCTGAATGATTCTGCTCAGTTGCAGTCAGAACAAGTACTTTTGTTTCCCTAATATCTTCTTCTCTGTTTTTAATATGTCTCCTGCGCCAAGACAGACATCGGGCAGCTGAAACTTGATAGTAAAATCAACACGATTCATCTTCTCTCCATGTAGAATGTCACCTCGAGGTGAACATTTTAGTTAAGGTGGCATCAATGTTTTTGGACCCCCTGCATCATCGTAACAATGAGTAAAGCTCATTTTCTAATCCTTCAGCACATTCTAAGCTTCTAGCATGTTTATCTTTACAGTAGTTCTGTCAGAACAATAATGCTGGCATGGGATCCAACTCATTGATGAGAAAATTCAGGCTCCTAGAAGCCAAGCCACTGGCTGGTTTTCTACAGCCAGCAGAGCTGAAATCCACACTCAAGCCTGCCAGCTGATAGAATTCACACTTCCCAATCCTACTCCGAACTGCACTTGTTTGTTCCTTCAGTGTTCTGAGAAGACTTTCCACATGCAGTCAACAAAGTTTGATCTCTTAAGATTGTGCTCATTCCAGTCCTAAAAAGCTTTGTTTGTAAATGCTGGAGTTAGGGAGTCAGTACACACCTAGTATTTATTCACCAGGTGTATTTCTGCTGATACTAGACTTCCAAAGACTTCACAATTCTCATATCCAAAAAAGCTCGCATTGGGGCAGAGATGTGAGGTGCTCTTCACTGTGAGTCTCACTGGATCCTCAGTCTCACCCGAGTGGAGGGGCAGCTGTATTTGTCTTTTGTGGTTACCTGGAGAAGAAGCAGAGCTACAGACTGTTGAAGGCAACACCCACCCAGAATCTTGCTGGAGTTGTTCAATGGCCCGCATAATTTTTCCCAATTCTTAGCTTCCTTTGATTTGGAAACACACTCGTTCTTAAGAATTTAGAGCAAGAAGTGGTGGGCCTATTCAGTGAGCAATTGTGTGGAGGCCAGGGGAAGAACGTATCACTTGGCCCCATGGAGTGGAAGAATCACAAAAGAAAGCCTTTGGGGGAAATGGAAAATAGAATTTGCCCAATGACCCAGGCCATCCAAGTAGGGCTGCAACCACAAGCAAGGACCAAGAGTCCTCTAGCTCCTGGCCAGGGCCCCCCTGGAAGATGGAGCCAAAGAGGCATCTGTGCACTTGGCTAGGGAGAGTCTTAGGTGGGCTAAGGAGTAGGCAGTGTGTTTCTCAGTGGCCCAACTCCAAGGGCATGGAAAGTCCTCAGCAGTGGAAACAACTCTGGAAGCTCCTAAGATAAAGGCTTGTTCTGAGGTAGTGACCTCAGTTAAGTCTGAACTGAAAGATAGAGATGGGCTTGAGAGAAGAAGAAAAGACACCCCAGTGCCAGGTCACACATTGTCTTTGTCACTGTTTCTTATCTCTTAGCAACTGCACACATGAGAATGCCATCAGTGAGGACCTGGATTGGAATCGATGGGCCATGGGCCTGGGCCTGGGGGCAAGCTGGTGATGGTGTTGTTGTTTGAATTTGAACTTCCTTTCCATTGTGCTGTGGAGAGACTCGGCAGACTGGTAAATGCCGAGGTGTGCAGAGCTCACGAATCATCTTTGCTGTGGCCAATGATTTGAAACTACCACTGTAAATGATATTACCAAGAATGGATATAGAATGTGAGAAAGAAAAACAGCAACTCATGCTGGAAGAAAGGAGCAAAGATAAAGGGGTTCAGTTAGTGAAGGAGGGAAAGGCAGATGGGGCAGTAAAGGGAAGAACAGCAACGTGACTCCTTTCTGAGAAGGAAAGGTGAGACCATAGTGTGAGATGTTGTGGGGGGACTTAGGATGAGCAACCTCAAGTGCTCATCTTCCAAGCAAGTGTGCTCTGAATGACAGATTAAGGTGAGCAAATGTATACTGACTGCTAGTGGAGACTGCTCTTTAAAAAACTAAGTAACTAGAAGAGCTGGCGGACATCTCAACTAGACAATGCTCCTGCCTTGCAAATAGAAGGCCCTGAGATTGATATCTGGTGCTGCCCACATGTGCCTTGCATAGTGTGTGTATTTCTGCCAGCTGGGAGAAATACACTGCCTTAACAGAATGCACGGTCTGCAAGACATCGCCAGGTGTGTGAAAGCAGCACAGCTAAAATCATACCCAGAGGCGGCTCCAGCCCCTTGCAAGGATGTGTGTCAGCCCCAGCAAGCTCTGCATCCACAGCATATGTGATCATGACATGCATTTTGTGTGTGACCCCTCACACACACACACACACACACACACATACCAGCACCCTATTGGAGTATGCCAGCACTGGACCCAGAGGTTGCAAACTCCCCAGCAGGTACCAAAGCCAATGATGTGGAAGAACAACGGCAAAGAGAAGGTAAACAGGGAAAGATCAATGTAAACACTTGGAAAGAGGGGAAGACTTATTTCTGCTTTGAGTATAACCTAGACATGCCCATGGCTGGTTGGAGTTTTGTGTTGGGAGTTGACCGTATTTTGAGCATAACTATAGCCCATAGTTTTCTGTTCTTTTCGTATGTAAACAGAAGAGAACACCTGTCCTATGACATGGGGCTTCTCGGACACTGGTGCCAGCAGCACGGATTAGAGAATCCCATGGAATGTTTCTACAAGGAAATTCGAGACTTCTTGAGTCAATTTTGGTTTGGTGTTGCCATAGAATTCCTTTAGGTGCCATTGACAAGCTTTAATTAAAGAACTGAATTTAGAGTTGAGTTTACCAAGAGGAATACTAATCTCGGTGTAGGTTTAAGGCCAAAAATAATCTCTGAGTAAAAGATCAAGTAGAATTTGCCTTTTAATCTTTTAAAAATTGTATCTTTAATAGAATTCTGTGTGTTTGTGAATTATATTCAACTATGACCCGAGCAATTTTCTAGTGTGAATACAGCCAGTTGCGACTTTATTATTTGGCAGCAAGGGTTGGGGGGTTGAGGGTAGAAGGGAAGAGTCTTGAACAGTGTCCAAACTGAAAAAGCAACAGACTCACCAGTTTAGAGCTTAAAAATAGGAAACTTATTTTTTTTCTCAGTAACTTTTACTTTTATGGGATAGAGTGTCATGATACAGAGAAGTCATTATGGGAAGCAGTTCCCTTTGAAGTTCTTTTTTTTTTTGTCTGACTCTTATAGAAAATTATGTCTTATAGCATGTTTTTATTGCTAACAATATTAGCCCAAAGGCATCTTCTCCCAGCAACTTGTAAACAAGATGCTTTACACCTACAGTGATTAATTCCTGAAGGAAAATCCTGAAGGATTCACATCTTTGACAGGTGAAAGTGTCCTGAATGGCCCTCAGTATCCGAAGAAACTGACTATTCAGTCCAGTCTTCTACAGAGATGGGGGGGAGACTCCGTAAGCTGTCAGGGCTATGATTGTTCTCAGCAATGTGTTTGATTCCTCCCAGGAGTGCGTCCTCCCAGTAGGACGTCTGCTCACAAAGCCTGAGACCCATCCCTGTGTCTGCCTCTGACAGGCACTTGGGATTCTGCATGTCAAGTGATCTTCCTCCCACAAGCCTCTGACTGCATCAGGACTCTGCCCGATTGAGTTAGTGCTTGTTTTATTTTCCTTTGGATGCTCATTCAATCCTTTCCCCATTCAGCCTTCAGTAGATATTGTCTATCTTTAATGTGAATTGCTTCTCCCCAGTGATATGAGAGGTGTGGACCCAAGCACTCTTTCAAGGGAGGAGAGAAAAGCAGTCATCTCTCTAGTAGACAGTTGTTCCCCCCCCCAAAAAAAAACCCTTTAAGATAGTTAATTATTTCATAGGTGATATATTTGGGGACAGAGAAATTACTCACCTGAAAACATATAGCTACTAGGGTAGAACTGAGATTCCCCTTCTGTTTTATCTCTCTAAAAAGTCTGTACCCTGGGGCTGGAGCAATAGTACAGCAGGTAGGGCGTTTGCCTTGCATGCAGCCGACCTAGGTTCGATTCCCAGCATCCCATTTGGTCCCCCGAGCACTGCCAGGAGTAATTCCTGAGTGCATGAACTAGGAGTAACTCCTGTGCATCGCTGGGTGTGATCCAAAAAGAAATAAATAAAGTCTGTACCCTTCCAGTGCTTCCTTAAGGAGTTAATAATTCTATAGGAAACAGACTGAGTCAAAGGGGAAAGTGTGACCATAAACATTAAGACATCGTAATAAATCGCGGTGGCAATTCAGAAAGGGCCAGGTAAGAAATTAGAGGAGTGATATTTGGGTTGGATGTCAAGGATGAGAAAGAGCACCCACATCTCCAGTTCAAATTCCCCTCCATCTGGAAAGTAGGTATCTTATGTATGGGTGTCTTTTTCTTTTTAATTGAGATTCTCTGATTGCAATACAGTTAGTGGTGATTTCCTGTGCACATAATCCCAAAACACACCCCTCACCAGTGTGCCTATCTCCCTTTACCAAAGAACCGAGTGTCCCTCCCTTTCACCCCTCCCACCCTCACACAGACACACACACACACACACACACACACACACACACACTCTCTCTATTGTATAGATCAGTTCTATCTCCCATTGTGTTGCCTTTACCCCCTTGTTGCTACCTTGCTGTCTAACTCGAAATCTATTTATGTGTAGCTTTTACTGTACTTTACTCAGAGATATGGTGGATATTTAAAATAAATATTCTCCAGTAAAGTTGACTGGGTCACAGCATAAAAGTAGATGAAGAGAAATCTAGAGACATTTATTATATACATATATATATATGGGTTGGTTTTTTATTTTTGTTTGTTTCACCAGAATCACTCAAACTGCTTCCTCTCCTTCTCCCTCTTCCAAAGGAAGGGAAGAAAAGAATGATCCTCAATGATTTAAAAAAAAAGTTGCAAAAGCAGCACCTAGAACTGGCTTCATGCTCAGGAGAGGATGCTCTGGCTCCTCCTTGTGGGTTCCGGAGCTCTACATGATCAGAGAAACTTTTCTAGTAACCATAGAAATGATCCCTCAAAGGATAGTCTTCATATATATGTATATATATTTATATATATATATAATATACATAAGTTTCTAAAGTGTCTTAGGGGAAGGTTTTTTTGGTTTTTGTTGTTTTGTTTTGTTTGTTTGTTTGTTTTGCTTTTGGGGTCACACCTGGCGATGCACAGGGGTTACTCCTGGTTCTGCACTCAGGAATTACCCGTGTTGGTGCTCAGGGGACCATATGGGATGCTGGGGATCGAACCTGGGTCGGCAGCATGCAAGGCAAACGCCCTATCCTCTGTGCTATTGCTCCAGCCCGGGGAAGGTTTTTTGATAAGTCTAGAGAGAAAGCAACACGAAGATACTAAATGGGTGCTGAAAGAGAGACTTATTTTGAGATCAACTCAACTGATAGGCTGATCGTGAACATCTCCCGTCTCTCCTCCGGAAGCAGCTGCTCATGGTGCCCAGGGGACTGTGTGGACCCTGGGGAGGTGGGGGTCACACCTCCTATGTGAGCAACCCTTGGTGCCATCTTCTTTTGTCTCCTCAGTCACTTTCTTCACTGTGGTCTTTATCCCCAGAGGAATCTTTAATATGATTTTTTAAAATTTCTATTATTCCCCATTCCCCTTCAAAATCTTAATACTCATCACCTGTCCTGGGTCCCTCCATTCTTTTCCCCACAGCCCCCAACTTCCTCCTCCTGTTTGTTGTCAGTGTTTATTTTGATTTTTGTTTGCCTTTGTCTGTTCATCAGCTCTCTGTCCTAACAGTGCACACTGAGGGAAAACCATCTAATGTTTATCTTCCTTCGCATCTGTCCCTCATTCGATAATCCCTTGCACCTGGAGAGGGACAGAAACACCCAGCCAACTTCTTCATTACCTTGCCTACATCCCTTCCTCAGTTTCAGGGCAGAGTCTAAACCAGAGTTTCTCAGCTGGGCACCATGTGGCACCCTGTGAGCCCCCATGAAAAGTGCATAAATGGGAGCCCATGGTGTCTGATTGGTTAGGGATGATACAGGAAGGAAGAAAGGTTGGAAAGATGGAAAATGGTTGAGAAACACCATTCAAGCCCAGTACTTCTTTGTTGTTGTTTTTTGGGGGCCACTCGGATGTGCTCAGGGGACCATCTCTGGTAACAGGCATCTAATCAGGGTCATTGAGTGAGAGGCGAGAACCTTAACCCCTGTACTATCTCTTCAGCCCTGACACTAAGACTTCAACTTTTTTCCATTTTTTTTGCCTGGGAAAGTTTTACATGATTCCAGGTATACAGAAATATAAACTGCACACAGGAACGAGACACTCAATGATAACACATCATAAAGCAAATGCGTAAAACAGACCTTTTTAGACAGACCCATGTGGGATTAGGGTCCACAATCTAAGAAGTGAGCCCTAGACCAGAGAGTTTTCGCACCCAGTGCCCAGAGCAGTCGGGCTGCACAGTCATCTCCTGCCTGCCTGTCTCTCCACCAGAAAGTCTCTGCTTACTTAACAGAGTGCGCCCGGCCTATGCAGTGATGCCATGAAGAACCCGGGTCTGGGCTCTTATTCTGTACAGTGTTTTTATTTATGCCTTAATTAACAGTCTGCAGAAATGATTCTCCTGTACTCACCAGTTTACATGTGTAGTAAGAGTGAAGCTCCCTGCTCTGAACTCTTGACAGTGAAGAATGTGAGACGACCTGCCCTCCCCACCGCCACCCACCTGTAGTCTTGTTGTTCTACTCTGACTCTGTGTTTGGCTTTATGCCCAATTGTTTTCTGTACTCTTCCCACAACCACTGTCCAACGTATGTACCAGCTATCTTCTGATTAGCCTTTCCTGAGAACGAATTGCTCCTTCCTTCCTCTTCCATGGTACACATGTATGTTTATGTCACAGAATCACTTCCATTTGCTTGCAGGCTGGTGTTCTCTCATGACAGTTAAGTTTCTGAGAATGAAAAGTGTAGCTGCTTAATTCTAGTGCAGTTGTCCGCTGCATAGTTAATAGTGAGTCAATGCTACGTAGGTAGGTGGAAGAACGTTTTGGTCTGGATGGGGCTTGGCTTGGCTTTGGGGCTACATCCAGTGGTGCTTGGGACTTACTTCTGGCTCTGTGCTCAGGGATCACTCCTGGTGTGCTCTGCAGAATATGGATGATGCCAGGGATCAAACTGGGCTCAGCTGCATACAAGGCAAGTGCCTTGACCTCTGTACTAACTTATCTCTGCACTTCACTGGATGGAAGTATGGACTGTCACTGTCACTGTCACTGTTCTCCCGTTGTTCATCTATTTGCTCGAGCGGGCCCAGTAACGTCTTCATTGTGACACTTGTTACTGTGTTTGGCATATCGAATATGTCATGGGAGCTTGCCAGGCTTTTCCATGCGGGCGAGATATTCTCGGGAGCTTGCCAGGCTCTCCAAGAGGGGCGGAGGAATCGAACTTAGGTCGGCTGTGTCGGCTGCATGCAAGGCAAACGCCCTACCCACTGTGCTATTGCTCCAGCCCTTAGATTTTCATATAGTAGTTATTTATTAGTACTCTCTTGGGCAGATGTAAATATCTGGTGTATAAATAGATTATGGGAAGTCGTTGACTCTAAACTACACCACGATTAGCTGACTGCTTCCAACTAGGTAGTCAAGATCATTTTGCATTTTAAAAATAGAACATAATTATCTGCTATGATCACCTAGACAAATATGGCTTACTTTACATTTCAGTAATTCACATACCAGTGACTTTTCAACATTCACCAGCATCCTCCATGTCAGTCAGAAGCTAAAACTGACTTTGCCAGAAATCCTGAGTCTATCTTGAGATGTTTGGTGTTAAAATCCTCCCCCTACTGTGTCCCCATGGCAGAAAGTTGGGAGGAATACTTAGTGAGTGGAGCCTGATGTGCCCATAACACTACTTAAGAGTATTATATACCAGTTCACTTGACTTTGGCTTCTTTTTTTTCAAATAATGTAGGAATACTGTTATTTGTTCAGCCATTGATTAAGCTGATTGAATTCGGCATGAACTCCACATTACTTTTTTATTTTATTGTATCACTGTGAGATAGAGTTACAAAGCTTTCATGTTTGAGATTCAGCCATACAATGATGAAACACCCATCCCTCCAGCAGTGCACCTTTTCCACCACCAATGTCCTAAGCGTCACCCCCCTCACATACATACACATCACAGTCCTCACCCTGCCTCGGTGGCAGACAATTTCCCCAATACTCTGTCTCTAATTTGGGGCATTAATTTTACTCGAATTTTCCCACCACCATTCAAGCCTACCTGCTGGGGGCAGACACTAGATAACATATTTTCCATAATTTATTTCGAATATCACGAGTGCTCACACGGTTGTGATTGTAAATGTAAATTTCCAGACTGTAAATGGTTGGATTCCAGAGACATCTCTGTATGGCGCTAATCCATTTTTGGGATTCAGTTGGGAGCCTCTGGGCCAGGGCTATTAGTGCGCTAAGATGGCATTCACAGGCAGATTGTGGGCGTGATAGCCAGTCTTCTGGGCAGGTGGTGACCCGGGGAGGGACATCCAAGGTCCTCTGCCGCCATGAGGACTAGAGATGTAGTCCTGGAACTTGCATACCTGGGGCTTGCTTGTGGAACCTCTTGGCCACCAGGATTCCATCTGGAGTAGGCAGGGAGACTACACCTGCTCCATCTGGGTTGTCCTGGTGATATTGGCTCAGTATAGGGCCTGGAGAGATCTCCAGCGCTTGTGTCATCTGGGACTTGCTGCTGTCTCTGGGCTAGGGCTGTTGGTGTGCTAAGATGGTGCTGGAGGCTGATTGTGGAAATGATGGCCAGTCTTCTGGGTGGGCAGGGACTCGGGGAGGGACAGCCCAGATCCTCTGCCACCATGAGGCCTGGAGATGTAGTCCTGGAACTTGCATACTTGGGCCTTGCTTGTGGAAGCTCTTGGTCACCAGGATTCCATCTGGAGTAGGCAAGGAGACTGCACCTGCTCCATCTGGGGTGTCCCTGTGATATTGGCTCGGTATAGGGCCCGGAGAGATCTCTGGCACTGTGGTGTCTTCCGGGACTTGCTACTGTGTCTCTGGGCCAGGTCTGTTGGTGTGCTAAGATCCACATTACAAAATTTTCAGCAGATTATATCTTGGTGAGGTCCATCCTGAGATGGTGGAGTCAGACTTGGGGTAAAGGTAAAGGTAAAGGCCCTCCCGTTGATCGTCGATTTGCTCGAGCGGGCCCAGTAACGTCTCCATTGTTGTTACTGTGTCTGGCATATCAAATACTCTCGGTAGCTTGCCGGGCTCTCCGAGAGGGGCGGAGGAATCGAACTCGGGTCGGCCATGTTGGCCACTTGTAAGGCAGACGCCCTACCCGCTGTGCTATCGCTCCAGCCTTGGGGTATGGCAGCAATTTTGGATTGTGGAAGCAAGTGGCTGTTGGGGATTCTGCTTGGGCAGGCACAGGCCAACCCGCCCCCTCCAGTTTACTCAGGACTGTTCAGCCTTGTATGGGTCTGAGCTTAACTGCAGCTTTTGATCTCTTTCTAGATTTATTTAGGGGTCTCTGAGGCAAGGCTAATAGTAGAGATTACAGGATGGCACTGGAGTTGGTTCATAGGGGTGATTGCCAGTTCTTTCGTGTGTATTGGGACATGGGGGAGGTAGTCCATCCCAACTCTGAGTGAGCTTGTATAGATGAGCCGGAGGTGGTTTGTGGGTGTGACTAGCTCATACCTAACTTTTGGCGGTTTAATTTCTAGGTAAACTTGTTCCTAAGTTGTTGGGGTCTGGCCAAGGGCTCATGGCAATTTTGGGGTATCAGGAAGCCCCAAGGCAACATCAGATTGCTGATACACTCGCCTGACTTTGGGGTCTTAATGAATTTGATGAATATTTGTTGTCTTATTTCTTTGTCTTACTCCCTGTATATATACACACATGTACACACACACACATACATTATTACCTACAATACATTATTTTTGTCCCATTTGTTTGCTGTCACTATATTGACAGGTTAAGCTGGTTATAATGCAGTTTGA